TGCCTGCCTCAATGATCTTCTGCTGCTGAGGCTGCAACACGAACAAACGCGACCAAGCTCCCGCAAGGAAGCATAGGGAAGCTGCGTCGGTCGACTTCCGCAAGATGCGCAGCCTTTCCCTGCCATGGAACCCCGAAGTAGTTATTACAAACAACCTTTGGATAAACTGCTCAACATCCTGTCCAGTCACCGTTGCGATTCCGGTATTACACTGCGCGGGACCTCTTCCGACAGATGCGCACCAGGGACTGTTTCCATGTCCACCTGCATCATTCAAACATACAAGCAGACATGTCTCGTATATGAATATATTCTCTTTCCTACCCATCTTCTACTTCTCTAGCAAATTCATATACAAGTTACAAATCATGTACATGTGTATGAACTTCCAGTACATGCATGAGTGTACATGCGTACATACATACATACATACATACATACATACATACATACATACATACATACACACATACATACATACATAATTACATACATACATACATACATACATACATACATACATGCGTACACGCAATCAAACATAGATATATGGTTGCATCCCGGTAAGCCCCCAATGGTCCCAGCGTATGATCCACACGATATGTACATTGATATATGTATATGTGTAAGTATAAACAAACATAAATTTGTATGTATATATACATATGATCATACATGCTAACCCCCGCGCCCAAGAACTACCGCGAGGTGCCGCGATAGCTCCACCAATCTTCCCCAGGTTTAGGCTTCTGGAGTATGATCCCGGCTTAGCGTTAGGTTTTGAAGCGCCCTAAGGACAGCATATGTGTATCGGCAGCCGCCTTCATTCTCAATTCTTGCGACCTTCACGCAGATACTCTGACAGATAATTTCCACAACCATGAACGTCTGTCTGAATACCCGAAGCTCAATATAGGCCCGAACATTAACTCCCAAGATAGCCTTCGCTGTAGTCTCAGATCAAAGTCAGTCACTACGTATGTCTGACCGTGAGCATTGACTGACTTCCATTCCTAAACAACAGTATCCCGAAGACCAGTTCTGTTATTAGACCTTACACTGGCCCCAATGGTGACAGTAGTCAGTCTTCTAGCTCATGTTCGTCCAAAAACGATGCCTTATATATATATATACATATATATATATATATGCTTCCCCCCCCTCAACGATCTGCGCGTTTTGGCTTTACTCGGAAAGAACCCCCTTAAATATTAAATATGACTCCATTAATCCGACAGAACCCTTCCATTCCACAGCATCGAAGAGAAAGCCCTTGGTACCCACACCACCTTGCAATACTAAGGCCAACGTATACACCATACGGATGCAGTGTGAGCCATTGCTGTTGATGTGCAGTGCGAGCCAGCTTCAGAAAGGTTGCACAGCAGCAGTGGAGAAGAAGTATAGTAAAGCAGTAACTTAAGAGTAATGCAAGAACAGTACAGTAGTTGTTCAGTTATAATACAGCAACATAATGCAGGCATAGTAGTAGTACTGTAGTGGTACAACAACAATACCAAAAGAAGATTTAGGACGTCCCAAAACCGCTCCTGCCAACATAACTACTAAGACTCAAAATTTTTCATCCTACACTTCTTCCACCCACAATCGACCAAGGCTGAGGCCGACTAAACTTGTACAATAGTAGTACCTTAATTGTACAGTATTAGTGCAATAGTATAGTAGTAAAGTAGTATTATAGTACTGTAGAAGTAGTAGCAGTAGTAGTAGTAGTAGTAGTAGTAGGAGTAGTAGTAGTAGTAGTAGTTGTTGTTGTACAGTACTATACACTGTTGTACAGTGCAGTTCTAGTATAGTAGTGTAAACCTTTAGTACAGCAGTAGATCAGCAGTAGTACAATAGGGATGGTTTAGGGGCCCCCACGTCTCGAAACAAAGTCCACTTCCCTCCAAGATAACTACAACAATCAAAACCCATCATGTAGAATATGTTTCCTTGATCCACTGGCTTGAAGCTTGCTAGAACGAGATTTGTGATATCATTCTGTT